GACTATAGTAGGCATATTGTATCTTGTCTGGTGTGTTAGCTATTAGCTCACCAGCTACAGTGCCTGGTCTAGCACCAAATTTTACAAGCTTTGTTTTGCCACTTTCTAGTTTGAGAGGGTCTTTTGAATGACCACAGCAGACAATAAATACATGTGAAACCATTACAAACAGTTTTCTGACCACTTTGCATTTGTAATCAACATTTCCAGGCAAGTAAAGCTTTGGTTTAATGGGGGCAACAGATTCAGTGTCATACATACCAGTGTTAGAGATTTATATGACTGACTGATTCAATTTTCAGTAAATCATGTATAGACTGTAATTTTCACTAAAATAGTAACATTTCAAATGTACAAGACCAGAAATCAAAGAGGTGTAAAAAAAAAAAAACATGACAGCTCCAGTGGCCACAAACCACTCTGTACCGTGGTTTCAATCTCAAATCACTTGACTGAGCATGAGGCACCTTTTTTATCATGGTTCATCCACTGCAATTAATCTTTAACAGATGTGATGCAACTCTTTCCCTCTGCCTCTTTCACACATACGGTGTCATTCTTTCTTTATCTCCGTTTCCGTCTCTCCAGTTTTCTATCTCACATACATAAATATTGCAAATATTCATCTCATTTTGTGACCCTAATTCAAGTTACCTTAGGGCACCTACTGGGCCACAGCAGTGAACACTAATGCTTTCAGAGTCCAATAAAACAAACCTGTTGGGAGTGTAACTCCCGAGACAGTAGAAATGCAGAGTCTTAACACTGCAAAGTTGGTTGTTAGTTTCTTTCTCCATTCAGTGAATCAATTGGACTGGACTCCAATTCTCTCTGGGAGAATGTAAGGCATACTGAGAGATGGGGGGAAAAAAAGATTCCTCGGCCAGATGATTGGACATTCAGAATACCCAAACCTTAATTCTAGTGTGCAACAGTCATTTATGGCTTCAGGACTGCTCAATAATGCATCAAAACCCACAGGCCTCCAGGGGAAGCAGTCAGTAATCAAAAAGTAAGTTAAGGTTTTCATAATAGGGCCCTATAAATAACTGGGGACAGAAATGAGGGCATGTAAAATTGATGAGGGATGATTCAAACCCCACGAGGTGGAGGGAGCTTAACGCAAGGAGAAGGAATGTGATGTTGAGTGGCCTGGTGATATGGGCATATGTAGAGGATGGAACTGTATAAGTGATTTGTGTCACCACTGTTACTATCTAACTGTACAGATATATGGACATTGTTCTAGAGGCATCGTCTTTGAAACTGTGCTATTAATGTAGAAATACACTCCAGTCTTATTAAAGTATTTTACAGTACATTTTAAACAATCTCCCAATGCTTGCATAACCTATGGCTACCAATTAAAATTTTACAGAAGAAGAGCTGAACCTTTTTTATATTGTAATTATTGATTCATTTTACTCCCATGTATTACATCAGAAAAGCCTTAAAACTTGGTGTTAATTCTAGTTTCTTGTACTTCTGAGGGACATCGTTATTTTTTCATGGAATCTATACCAGGATGTAAAGTTCATAGATTACATTAATTTAAAAAAGTGCTCCACTATCTTCAAGCAAGGCTGTGAATAACCATTTTGATCAATACATGACTCTATTTCAATAGTTGTATTTTTGTTGCAACTGTAGGCATGTGTATGATAGTTTTTTCTATTTGTTTCAAGTGAGACAGAAAACATACATGACTTTAATAACTTGAAGTATATGGGTTGAAATGAGCACCCAAAACAAAACTCTCACACATTCAGAAATGGAAAAAAAAAAAAGATGATGTGCTTGAGCTTCTTTGCATTTTCTGAAGGATCCTGAGTTCTCCAGTGTACTTATCACTAACGACTCTACTGTGAAAAAGTATTTCAAAACCAGTGTTTGAAAACCAAGAGCGTAATGAGGCCTTGTAAAGCATAAGTAACTTATTTACTCAGTTCTAAATAGACTAAATCCAGGAATCTTCTACTGTGTGTTAAAATGAGGATTCTATTAAGGTTTTTAGGAAATCGACAGTGTCGTATTGTCATCATGTAATACTGGAAAACAGTAGTGAAAAGTAAACAAAATAGTTCACACAACAGCAAATAATTAGTCTTACTACGCATTTATTGCACTCTTGAGGGATGTCCTGATCAAGTTTTTTTGGCCCCGATTCCCAACCAGAGTCCTTTATTATTGAGTATCTGCTGATACCTAGTTTGATCAAGGACTTATATTTGACTCAAAGTTGGTTTAATATACACAGATCAGCCAAAACATTATGTTATGCATTCCCATACGCAACAAACTACGATGCACTGTGTGTTCTGACACCTTTCTATCAGAACCAGCATTAACTTTTTCAGCAGTTTGAGCTACAGTAGCTCATCTGTTGGATCGGACCACACAGGCCAGCCTTCACTCCCCACGTGCATCAGTGAGCCTTGGCCACCCATGACCCTGTCTCCGGTTCACCACTTTTCCTTCCTTGCACCACTTTTGATGGGTACAAACTGGGAACACCCCTCAAGAGAGAGGCTCTGACCCAGTCGTCGTCATCATTTAATGCTGTAAGGAGTTCGGTCTAGACCTGCTCTATTTGAAAAGTGTCCTGAGATAACTTCTGTTATGAATTGGCGCTGTACAAATAAAACTGAATTGAATTGAATTAAATGACAATTTAGCCCTTGTCAAAGTCGCTCAAATCCTCACGCTACCTATTTTTCCTGCTTCTAACACATCAACTTTGAGGACAAAATGTTCACTTGCTGCCTAATATATCCCACCCGCTGACAGGTGCCATGATAACCAGATAATCAGTATTATTCACTTTACCAGTCAGTGGTCATAATGTTATGGCTGATGGGTGTATATCTGACACACTGAAATAGCAGCTGCAGCCTAATCAATCTGACACACCTTATTTTTTATGAGCTGCTTGATGCAAATACTGAAGTACAATACTGAATATTAAATTTATAAGCTTAAATGAATGCTAATTAATTAATGATATTATATGGAGAATGTGACTCAAGATATTTAGCTCGTGATCAGCGAGAGAAAAGATGTTTTACTCTGCTGGAGTAGTGATGCATCTAGCTGTAGAGAACCTTTAACCAAACAACAGACAAGTTTAATTTTGGCCTGCCATCAAGTTACTCATGACGTGAGCTAAAAATGAGAAGCTGCTACCTGAATGTCTTTTACTCTTTGCTTTGCTAATGAGAAAGAGAGAGGAGAGATAACAAATTTGTTAGAGTCAGAGTTTCTATGTAGTGAAGTGTATCCATGTATTACGCCAACCTCAGTGTCTGAAGTCAAATAGCCAATTAAAAGCCAAATCATTTTTCACTCACACACTCTAATTTTCACTGGTGAAAAGCTCGTATGTAGGCTGTGGTAAAGGAGAGCAGCGCTGCAGGCTGATTTGGAAAAAACACAGTACAGTTCAGTGCAGAAAGGAAGGACATTTGATTGGCTTTATTTTAGCCGATACTGATCGTTTAAAACATTCCTAATCTTGCATCAGTAACAGTAAGACTAATGAAAGTTCATGCCTATCTACATATTTCTAATTTATGTCAGAGAGTAATAGAAAGTAAATGCTTCTGACATATATGGTTCACAGTTTTCTAAATTAATGAAATAATGTAAATAAGACTTCTGTTTGTGATTTAAAATGGTCATTTTCACAATCATGCAAATGCAGGTATTTGTACTGGGATAGGATATACTTTATTATTAGAAAAATATACTGGTAAACTAATCTTGCTAATTAAAAACAAGAACAATTGAATTCTTACTCTACTGTAGTTCCAGGGACATGAAGGTATTGTCCTCAGTTGACTGCCAACCTAACAGATGGCTATTTTAACACTCAACAGTAACACATTTGGGAAAACAAAAATGGCCAGGTGAACTAAAAGAGCAACTTATTCTGGCTATACTTTTTCTTGTGCAGATACACAGTTTTCAGTGTGTATCACAATTGATATCAAATTAAGAATGGAAGAGTTTAGATGTGGTTTTCCAAGGACCACAGAAAATGCCCTATTCAAAATACATTAGGATCTCTTTTCTATTAAAAGCCCTACATTCCCTCACCCACTTACACATGGATATTACTTTTGCAGAATCACAGACGTATGAGAAAAAAGGCTCATAGATTTTTCTGTTACATAGGGTCATGGCTGCAATTCACTAAATTCACTTTTTACAACATGTATGCCAAATCTGTTATTGACTGTCAAGGAAAATCTTTTGTTGATCAAAACCCGACAAATGATTTTCAGTGAAGTTGATGAACATGAGATGAACCTGACAGACTTTTGGTTTAAGTAAAAATTAGGTTTTTAATTTAGCAAACTGATTCATTATGAGGAGACTGACGGACATGAACAGTGGTATGAAGACACTGTAGCACCTTGATTTAACACTGTGCACCATGTTGGTTGTGGTGTCCTATAAGTGGTGCAGTACACTGATTTTGCACACAGTTTTGGATTCAAGCATACAGGATGCCAGAAACATTTTTCACCACAAAACCATGTTAGTGCCGTCTTGTTCTGTCAGAATAGAGTAAATTCACAGTGGCTCCTTTAGGACAAGAAGCACAAAACACTAACATTCTGAGCAATGCTCCATCAGTCAATCAGAAAAGCATATAATCTATGTTTCTGAGTGTGGAACAACAGAAATGACAGCTGGAGAGGTAGTTAGACTGACTTGTGACTAGGTCTCAGAGGTAGCTGGCATAAGCCAATTGAAAGAAAACTCTCCCAAAATGTAATGCACTCAAGAAAAGTGCCAGAATAACTATCACCTAAAAAACTATTTTGCGATACAGTACCTTTTTAATAACAGTCGTAGTAATAATTAATCGTGGCTTCAGTAGTCTGTGTTTACAAGTTTGATAGTGCTTGTACTGGAAGTGGAAGTGTCTGGGATACCAATTTATATGTCATTGTCTGCATGTCAAACAAATAAAAAAACAAATCCATCTAGCTTACCATCAAACTTTTTATGCCTCGAGACAAATGTCGTCCTCATATTGTGGCTGTTCTCCTCGACCAAGTTCTCGAACTCCAGTTTGCTCTGCTGGTTGAGTTTGTCCTCCATCTCGGATGTGCAGCAGGTGTATCCCTGAGGACAGACACGCAGGTGCTCACCTAAGGGAGACAGAGACATAGATGCCATTTTTTACACACATCACTGCCACAGGATTCAGTTTTTCAAAAGGCTGAGCTGTCTTTGATCAAAACTCTCCTGTGATTTTGGGACTCTCATCACTGAAGCTATCAAAGAGGGACAGACCGTAACAAATAGGGAAGGATAATATTTGTCGGTAACCTGCTATCTTGTGAAACAGACAGCAACTTTGATACAGCAGTGCATATACCTCCAGCAGGATTTTCTTTATATCACAGTCCAAAGCACTGCAATAACAGAAACCGAGCTATGTCAGTATTATGTACATAAAATTGATGGCAGTGCGTTCAGAAACTGTCTTTCAGTTTCTAGAAAGTCCTAAGACTATACCAAATAGTAGCAGCAGCAAACATTGTCATTAAACCAGCATGAACAGTTTTTTTTGTCACCTGGGGCCAGCACAACAAGCTGTAAACAAAACATTGATATATCATGACTGTATAAGAAAATGTGTTATTTACACAACCACCAGATACCAAGCAACATCAGCATCAATTTTGAGTTGTGATTCTAGCCACCCAAGTTTAATTTTCACTCTCCTTTTAGCTTTGTTTTGGTCTCCACCAACTCCTGAAGGAAATATCTGGCCCTTAATCACTAATCACTAACTGTGTCTGTCTGGTCTGCTCTTTAGTTCGTAACAGGTGGGTTTATAAGAGCTGTTTGTCAAAAACAACTAACTGCTGCAGCTGAAAACAATGCAGGTGAGAGTGGTCAGTAAAGCCACAAGCCAGAAAACCAAAAACAATAAGATGCTAAAATGCTACTCAGTAGCTGTCTGGTTCCAGCAAGCTCTTTCACATTACACACTCATTTGATACACTGGTAACTGATTATGTACTCCAGGGCACTGTTGCTTGTATAATAACAACAATCTTAGTTTTAAGACTTAAAGTTTAAAGAATTTAAGAAAATTCTGTTTTTCATTTTTTCTTAGAAATATCTGGCATTAAGTTTTAATTTTATTTGTTGAGGTTGTGAGATACACAACACTGAGACTTAAGCTGCCAGGCCACAATTAAACAAACTCAACATCAATTTTTTTTGTGTGGAAAAAATGTCCCAGTTACTTGGGATAATCCAGAGACCTCACCATGCCCATTTCAATAGAAAGATATTTCCCAGTGCCATTTGGAGCTCTGTAGATTATCTCCATTTACCAGGACATAGTTTCTGAAAAATGCAGCTGCTGATGATTTCTAAAATGTAATTTATTCTATGCTTTCCACACTGCAAACTAAAATTCCATTTATTATACTTGGTTAGCAGCAGAATGACTGGTGGCGGAGATTTTAAAACCTCACCATATAAAACCAATATTAACTGCATGACCAGGTACAACTAGGAGTGGGGAAGTAATCTCTATTCAGATACACAGTCCCTTTACAAAACACCATGTGTGTTATCTTGACAAAGTGATGTTTTGCAAAGCCTTTGACTCTTTGTACATGATGTAGTGTTGAAGCTTCTGATTAAAAAAAATATTGTGAAATTTCTAGTCTATAAATCTCATGTGTGTCCAGGGACAAGATTTATCAAGGTAAGGTAGGTGTTTCAAAATCCTTTTGAATGTCTTTGAGATGTCTCTACAAGTTGAGTGATTGCACTTTCCACTCAGCTGGACTTAAAATAAAGAGTTAGTCCTATAAGTCCACAACAAGGTGTGTATATCAGATTGTAAACTTCAGCAAATAACTGTCTGTATGATTCAGAAACAAAACTGCTGAATCTGGGGGAGAGTATTAAATAATCTGTCAAATTTTGAGAGTTCAGTAGACATTATTTAGAAGCTGAGAAAATATGGAAGTGTGTGAGTTCAATCAGACTATTTATGTTTGTCTTTCATTCATTCATTCATTCATTCATTCTCTGTTGCTCTCTCACGCCTTCTGCTTTCCCATATCAACTAATTAGAGGTGTTGCTTACCAACCAGATCTTGCCATGATTTCAGTCAATCATATATTTGCCACCAAACTTTAAATGGTCTCCTCTATATTGCTGTCGGATGTAATTTCAGTACACGACCCACCTCCACCCCATTCACCTCCAGTTTCAGCAGGTCTGAGCTCAGCAGATGCCTGCTTCTCTTTTCATCACCCAGATCTCAGCATCCTTTTCATTCAGTACAACACCAGTGTCTAGACTCCTTCGGGGGGTATGCTACTCCACTCGCAGCTTCCCTATCTCCTTAAAATATGATGACGTCAAAATAGGAAGACTTTCACTTTGCGTACATGTCAATAAATATAGTTGTTCACTCAAATGAAGCCTTGCCTGATTGAGCTATACTTCTTTGGCTACAACCTTACATTTGGAAAAACATCAATCAGTAAATGTCCTCACACTTCTGAAAACCCTTTCATTAAAAATGGAGGTTACTCTTACATCTGTGGATTATCCTCTGTGTGTAGAGTGTAAGTGTGTAAAAGGGGTATGAATTGCATTAAAGAGTGAGGAAAAAATATCCTGAAGTCGGATGAAATGAAAAATTCAGCTCTGCAAGCATAATGCGCAGCACTATCTGACAGAAAGTAGGCTTAACCCATCATGCATTTAACACAATCTCTATCTCAGAGCATGGTGATGGTAGCATCACCAGGCAGGTGTGATTTTTGGTATCAGGGACTGAAAGACATGTGAGATTAGAGGGAATGATGATCTGAGCAACATACAGACAGATTCCCGAAACAGATATAGTGAGAGAGCTGAGGACCTTTGTTTGACACAAAAACATCCAAACATCACAACGTTTTTAGGATGAGAGCGAAAAAGTTCATGAGTGACCAAACCTGTATAAAGACTTACATCAAACAGAGAATCTAATTTGTGCAGTGACTTGTGCTGAGCAACCTCACAGGGACAATATACCCTGAACTAATAGAAACTGGGTCCATTAATCCATAAAACATATAGATGGAGTGTCTGGAGTGTTTGAGTAGATAATGATGCCAAAAAATAACATTTATCATAAGAGAAAATGCAAGCTAAAATGCCAACTCTGCTTGACAGGGTGCTTTCAGAGGTTCTTTTCATCCCTCTCAGGTGTGAGAAAACAGAGACAAGTTCCTGTGATACAAGGGGCACTGACATGTATGAAAACTGTAATTTCTTGAGTTCCCTCTGCCCTTTGTGCCTAATGCCGAAAAGGCACTGTATTTCTAACAAAAGTTAGAAGAGTCAGAACGGTGACAAACTCTTCATCAGACCCAAGTGAGGATACTATCACCTACCCTGCCGCCTACTGAGAGAGAGAGTGGCCACGGGGGATGCTCGAGAGCTCCTGGGAGCTCCACATGAGAGAAACAGACATATCAGCTGATCAAGCTGCAACGTGGGACCCAGAATGCCCAAGAGCGTTCCACATGAGAAACGGCACTGCTTCTTCTCCCCCTTCCAGAGAAACTCCCCTGGCCATCTGAACCACAGGTGAAACTTTTCCTGTGATATCAGGGTTAATTATAGATTACTGAGAGTAATTATGAAGTCTTAGGCCATAAGTAGGATCTCCCAGTTAAATAGTAATGATATTGAATTACCTCAGGTATTTTCGCTGGTCCTTCCCAATCTTACATCTGCTGAAAGGTGCATTGAATCAATTTTACTGGTTAATGCTAAAGTTTTCATCCACTTAGTGGTCGCTTGTGTTTCCACAAATTAATACATTTTACCATTGTCTCAGGTTGCGCGCTCACTCTACCAGGTGAGCACCCTAGAAATAGAGTCAATTAATAAATTGGCTATTGTTTTCCCTTCTTTAAGGGTAGTGCCCAGGGGTGAATTTAATGCAAGTTCAATTATATTGTTTAAAGTAGATAAAATAGATAATTTCATTTCATTTCATTATTTCTTATAGCCCAAAGTTGAGTGCACTCTACTTACAGCTTTTGTACCGATTAATGTGTTAACACAATATAATTTGTGTGCCCTTTTGAGGCTTTAATTGTTGTTACATATTTTTAAAGTCCCTTTAAGGCACTGACTTCAATTCAGTGAGAAGATGAAATCTGTGAACAATAAACAACAAAGAAACAAACAAAAGATTGAGGTTGTGGTTGCTGTGTAAACATTAAAAGCACACTGGTCATAAGGTGTCCTTTCAAATGTTTGTCTTTCTGGGCAGCAAAATCTGTGGAACTGGCAAAGATTTTGCTCAAGAAGTCAGCAGCTGTGCAAATTCTTATACCACTCTTTGACTTGTTACTGATACGTACAAATATAGCAATTTCAGTAGTGCCACATTTTCTACATACTTGCTTTATTATCTCTCCTCTGCAGCTCTACGTCTGCATCAGACATCATTATCAGAGGTTCAGAAAAAAAAAAAGTCTGGCCAGCAGTCACATGAAAGATTTGAATTTTGAGGGTTTTTTCCAGTGTTACCTATTACCATTTGAGAAAGAGAAAGATGAAATGGCTGTCGCTGTACCAGTGGCAGATTGGTGCAGAATAGACTCAGATTGTGAGACTTTTTTGATGGATCCTACTATACAATAAAGGCACACTGGTGTTCTGCATGCATATACAGTAAGCTATAGATGGAGGAGCTGTGCATGGATAATGAAACAAGGAGGATGCAGTTTGTACGTGCTGGCACTCTCAAATGTGCTTAATCCTTAATCAGTCCTTAGAGAGGCACCAGGCTACAGTAATGAGGTGCACCATCAACAGTTCAACAGAAACCCATTGTCTCCAGAGTAATGCACAAGCCTCCTGGCCAGAGAGACCAAACTCTCTAAAACAACAAAATAAGCTGAAATGCAACAGTCGATTTCGATTTGTTGATTCTTTAAGGCTATTTTGTTTCACTACTGAACGACAAGGTTGTAATCTTTTAGCAGTGCAACGGTATTCCTCAACTGTCGTTTCCAACATAATTTCTACTATGTGGAGATGTATCATTGTGTGCTAATCTTTATTCCAAGCTGTGATCAATTTAACACATGCCTTTAGAGAAAACAA